AGGAAACGGAGATGGAGAGTTTGTCATGGCAGCAGTGTGCATGGTCCTGAGACCTGTGACATTAGTCCAAATGCAGGCCCTGAAGACACCATCTGGGACTGGTGTAAGGACAAAGATTTGCAGCATCAGTACACTAGGGGCATGTGGTGAAACAGGGGAGGACGGTTGCTCATTAAATCACACATTATTATTGTTAACCTATTATTTCAGGCCTCGGATGAATATTTATTTTATTGAGGAGTTGAGGACGCTAGGGAGGTAGGGTCTAGATTAGTTGGGATGAATTGTTTCAGTCTAGGACATGAAGGTCTGTAGGAGAACAAAGAGCAATTGTATGAGAGTAAAGAAGAGATAGATCCTGGTGAATAGAAATGGTAGGTGGAGCCAACTGGTGGCCTGCTGGTTAGAGTGTCTGGATTCCACATGTAGGAGTGTGTGGTTTGAGTCCCAGACTCAATGGCTTATAAAGGACACTGGGCATGTGTGTATGCCTGCCCAAAATCCCAAGAGGAGAAGGGATGGTAGCATGGCCATCTCACTTGAGGGATGCTTTCTCACTTTCCCCCTCTGTCTCTCTCCAGCAAGCACATGTACCTTCTAGCAAATAATAATGACAATAAAAAAACCTCCAGCATGATTAGAGAATGAAATACTAAAGTTCAAAATATTAGGAAGTAATATAATCTCATGCACTGCCTAATGACATTTAGGTCAACCACAAACTGCATACACGACTGTGATCCCGTAAGTTTATAATAGGCTAAACCTTACAGCTCAGGAGTGTAGTAGCTTTTCCTATGTGCAAGTATAGTCTGTGATGTTTGAACAATGAAGAAATGACTTAAGGATGCATTTCTCAGATTGGATCTCCATCCTTAAGCCACACGGGACTGTATGTTGATGGTGGCATGGTCTTGAAAATGGAGTGGCCAGCTTCTGTGAAGTGAGGACATGGTAGACATGAGGAATTCAAGGAACCATAAGACTAGACATTGTGTGTGACCAACCCTTCTGACCCTTCAATTTGCCTGACACAAAGATAAGGTGACTTCCAGGGTAGGCTTTTATGATGATGAGGCTGCTTCCAGATGAAAAAAGTGAGGAGGGATATTTCAGTCACAGCGAGCAGCTTCAGTAGAGGATCAGAGACATGAAAACCCTTTGAGCCAAACTAGCTTAGTTTTTGCCTTAGAGATCATGGCAACAGGAACTGCTTATCACAAAGGAAAAGAGAGGTTATGCTTCATCTAAGGTAGAAGTCCTCTGTGGGTGACAGCTATTCTCTCAATATATTTAATAAGAGGAGGTATTTCAATGAGATCAATCTCTGTTTCCAATCACAGAATAATTCATTTAATTCTGAACTCAAGCACTTTGATTATAAAAAATATACACGAAGGCTTTGAAAAGTTATGTAAATGTATATGACACCCTTTTAATATAACTATGTTTTACATGCACGTAGAGGGAAGCATCTTGACTTGTAGCCAGGTTATATTAGTGGTGAGACATGAATGTGCATGCTTAATTTAGATCTTGGGAATCATCAGGCAGCTGGACGAAGGTTATGCTTTTCCCTCTGTACACTAAAGAACAGGAACAAATGGCTTTATGAGTTCATCATTTATAGTGTATTATATCAGTCAGTCCAAAAAAAAAATTAAAAACAGGAAAAATTGCTAACAGTGCAGCTAGAATCAGTCTAGAGAGTGAAGTGCCCCACAGGCAATGGTGCATGAAGAGTCTACCACTAATTACCACCTCTGATCCACCCTCGTCAGGCTAGCTCGAGCCCTGTGTGTGGCTTTGGGCTCAGGAGGGCACTGTGATACCAAGCAGAGGGCAGCAGCGATTCGGTTCACAGTGGCCAGAGGAGAGCATGAGTTAATATAGGATCAGAAAAGAGGATTGCCTGAAGTGGCTGTTCTCAGGCTGCTGCTGCTCAGTGGAGCAATTTAGCAAAGTAGGCAGGAGCCATGCTCTCGGCGACACTTGCCTCAGTAGTGCATGTGCCAGCTTCTGGGGCTTTCTGATGCGTGCCCTACAACACGGGCTTTCCTTTCACTACTTCTATGGTCACTGCTTTAATTCGGGGCGTTGGCCCACATCCAGGTGCTGGCTATCCTAATTAATCTCCTCCTTCTCTCTAGGCACTCTGCTCACTTTCTAGAAGCAGGTGTCTCAAGCATGGTCACATATTTTATGCTTCTGTGAGAAGGAGAAGGCGAGCCGCTTTCTAATATTTATCCTTCCCTTCATCAATGTAACAGACGTTTCAGCTGAAGAATGCATGTCCCTGTCCCCCTTGTAGCTAGTTATGACCATGGGACTGGGTTTTGTCCAAGGGAATACACAGAGAGCTGATGGGCACAGATGCCCGCTGATGAATGCAAAGAGGACGGGGCAGGGCCCTGGTGGTTAAAGCAGCAGGAGCCAGCATAGCTGACCATGTGGTTTGAATCTCAGACCTGGTGGCTTCAAAAATACGCTGGATTCTTGTGCATTTGTACCTAAAATCCTAAAAGGAAAAATGGAGGAGAAGGGATTGCGGCATGTTTATGTCCTGTGGTGGGGGCTACATGCTTGTCCTTTCTCTCTCTCTCTCTCTCTCACACACACACACACACACACACACACACACACATACACATACACACACACAGTCTCTCCTTAGCAAGCACACATATGCTTTGGTAAAATAAAAATGAAAACAGAAACAAAGGAAAACACAAGACAATGTCCTTTGTGCCCTTTCTCTTTTCCCACTGGCTGGGATGCAGATGCGATGGAGGGGGCTGCATCGGTCATTTGAGGCGACCTGTTTCTGGTGGCCTGGCAACAATGTGGAAGCGGTCCGGGACGCCAGCAACACGGTGCTGACTATCACCACTCGATGGCTTATACTCGGATCAGTGTGTGAGAGAGGGATAAACTTTCGCGATGTTTAAGGCACAATTATTCTGACCTTTTCCAGTGACAGTAAAACCTGCATGATCAGGCACTTGGTGTAAAAGTCTCCTGGCTCGTCATTGCCTGAGGATAAGCCTGTACCCTTAAGGAGGGCATCTACAATGCTTCCCAGTCTGGGTTCAGCCCACCTTTTCAGCTTCCTTCTGCCACTTGCTTATAGATACTCTCATCTAACTCTGGAGTCCTCTCTTTCATCCAAACATAACTGTATTTGGTGCTTTGACATATGCTGTTCACTCAGAATGTTTCTCCCCATTTCAACAAATAAAAGCCTCCCCCTCGTTCTTCTAGGTATTTCTCTAATGTCACCACCTCCGTGCTGCTTTTCTGGACTTTATATGACAGTTTTTACTGGCAGACTTAATGTCTTCTTCCTCAGGGCTTCCAGAGTGCTTTATGGTGTGTGTCAATCACATTTCCTCGTAGCTGCCTGCACTGTGACTGGTGTTTACCTCTCTCACCAGGGATTATTCCGTGGCATCTTATTGGTCAGCCGTAGCCCACGCTCTAACCCTCCATCCTTCGTCTTGTCACAGGCAAAGCAAACAGTGGAAAATCAGACAGACACAAAACCAAGGAGTTAGCTTTTTTGGGAGAGGGAAACCCTGAATCAAATGAAGAGTTTGCTAGCAAAGAAGAGGGAAATGAAGGCTTGGAGGTGTTGTATATTCTTTTCAACTCTAATGCCATCAACGATGGGTAGGGGTGAATAGGGAAAGCAGGAAACTAAACGGTGTGGGGAAGATTCTTTGGCTACAGGATTCAAGCTGGAAAAACAGTCCCTGGGAAGCTGTAGTCATTATTGTGTATTTCTAGAACTTCGAAAGATAAGGAGGAAAGCTGCAGGCTAGCCTCATCGTGGAGAGGAAGGAACTGGGCTCCTGCAGCCCCCAGCACAGCATGTCTTGTCTCACTGGACATGAGCCGTCCTGTGGCATATCTGACACGGACAGCTGCCCTTTGACATGCTGCTTCCTGAAGACCCTGGCTGCTGCAGGCCCACTTGGTACCCAGGGCAAGAAGTCATAGTCAATGTGTTGGATTTAATCTGCTTTATCTCATGTCTATCACTTGCCTAAACAAAGAATTGCTAAATATCCTCAGTAGTCAATATGAGTGCATGAAGACTCTCTGTATTAGCGTTTGATGTTTCCATTAAAAAACACTCCTTGACTCTGAGATGTATCCCAAATATCTGAGCTCTATGAGAAGAGTCCATGGAAGAGTTTAATGAATTCTGGTTCTATGAAAGCTGGAGACAGTGGCGAACAAGGTACCTATTTAAAGTTACAACCTGGGGCCGAGTCAGTGACAGAGCAGAAGTGTAAGGCTCAGTGATGCTGGATTCACAGAATAAAGTCCTAGGTTCATGTCCTGAGGTCTCCATGTACGTGCCAGGCATGTGTACATGTGTACCTGTGATCCAGGCTGGCCGAGACTGGCGTGGATCATGGGATAGAGACCCTGTTGGCGGTGCCTGTCTTCTATGCATCTCCTTCTCTAATGCTCTAATGGGTAAAATAAATACATAAACCTTCTTAAAAAATAAAGTTATGGACCAGCAGATGGCATAATGATTACATCACAGGACTCCCATGTGGCCAACCATGGTTTGAGTCCTGGACCTGGCATCTTAAAACTCACCCAGGGCACATGTACATGCGTGCCTAAACTCCCAAGAGGAGAATGGAGGAAAAGGGTTTGTGGTGTGGCCATCCTCTCTGGGGGATGGGGGTTGTGATTTCTCACTTCCCATCTCTCTGTCTCTCTCTGTTTCTCTGGTGAGCACATGTGCCTTATGGCAAAAAAAAAGCTCTCTAAAAACCAATCAAACAAACTAAAACTAAAGTTATAGGTTGATTTGGAAATTAAAATTTAACATGAAAGTAATTTTTGTCTTTTTTTTTTTTTAATCCATTTCCAAATAAACACATAGCACAGTACAGAAGGCAAAATGCTTAGCAAATAGAATCTGGTCACGTGAGCTTAGTGACAAAGAATGTGAATTCTGAGGTCAGATTCTACAGGCCCATAGCCTGGTTCCACTCTACACCACCAGAATACTTAAACACCCTGTGTTTTAATGTCCTCCCGTGTAACGTGGAGGTGATATTACTACCTCACAGGACTCTCACAGGAGTTAAATGAGAAAAATCGAGGCGGCCGTCCCTCAGTATTAGCACATAGTAAGTACAATGAATAGAGCCATCCGTTATTGCTTTATGTAACATTCATCGGTCAATTAATAGTCCTTTTCCTTGACCCGAGACGATGGACTATTTCAAAAATCATAGCGTAACACAGGAATTGGTGACCTTATAAAAAGAGAATGTCAAGAACCCAATATCTTCCTTTGTGACACGATAGGACGTGAACTGGGAGACTATAAGCTCACGTCTCAGTAATGACTCCAGATTGGAGTTAGGAAAGGAAAGCATGTCTGTCATGTCCGTTCTCGTGAGGGTGTGGATAGCTCCAGTGTGTGGTGGGATTTTGTAGGTAGGATTTGTAGGTGGCAGTGAATCAAATCACAAATGTAGCCGGGACGCAGGAATCTTAAAATTAACCCACATGGCATTTTTGGCACCTCTCTTTATGTTGGCCACCCCTGAGACAGTGTGAGGGTTTGAAATGGATTTATGCCCAAATTCTTCATGGCCTAATTCAAAAGATTTTAAGCAAAATACGCTGCCACAATGAACACACACTGCTGTATGAATGGTCTGTTTATTGCTGCGGTTTTGCACAACTAGAACGGACTGGTCTAAACCAGACAAATTCATGCCGAGCCATGAGACTGTTCTTTAAATCTCTCCCTCACTTCTAAATCCACTTTCAACTACATTAATGTGTAGTTACTGCAGTAAAATATACTGGGCTGCGCACCTTTTGAACACCCCCATGCGTGTCACAATTTAATGTGGAGCATGAAGGAATGGCTGATTACCATGCTTCCGTGTGTCCCTCAGCCTGTGTGGGTCTGACTGCAGGAAACAGCGGCTCAGTCTTTGAAGCAAGGACTTTTCCTCTGCTTCTGAGAGTAAATAGCCCGAGAAAGCGTCCTCACTCTGAGGAAGTCTAGATAAACGTGTGATAGGGAGGGAGAGGGCTGTCTGTTGTGTCTGTCAGAATGGCACCTGAAGGAAGGCAGCTGGCTCCTGCTTCGTGATAAGACGGAGGTTACTGAGGCAGAGATAAAAAGCCCACTCGGTCAAAATACATTACAAACTGAAAGATCCCCAACAGGAGTTTTTAGCATTGCACCCCAAGCCTTTTTCTGAACAAAATGACAGTCTGTTCTGATTTTTTGAGGGGATGTGAGACCCGTACTCTGCTAAGTGGAATGAGTGCAAGAACACACACACACACACACACACAGTCTTCCTAGGAACTGGCTTCACTGGCTACAGGGCACTAGCTCCTCCATGGGAACACTTTAAAAGAAATCATTGCAAACGAGCAGAATAGACAGGATAGAGGATCTCGTTCCTTGAAGTGAAAACTCTTATTTCTCCAGATGCAGGAATCGATGTTCGTGATGGTGGCAGTGGTGCTGGGCGTGTTAAAAGTCGGTCGAGGGAGGGTAAGGTGCTGGACTCCCACAGATCCAACCACCATTTGAGCTGTGGACCTGGAGGCTTGCTTTCTCATTCTCTCTCATGGGCCAGATTAAAAATAAAAATAATAGTAATAAATAGAATAATAAATAAATAAATACAATAAAAGAGTAATTCTAAAAAAAAACAAAAAGCAGTTGGAGGTCAGGGCAGAAGGTGGCACAGTGATGAAACACAGGATGGGAGTGGGTCATGGCACACATATCCTTTTGAGGATGCTCTCTCTCTGTCTCTGTCTCTCTCTGGCTTGCTCATTCATGGAAGAAGTAAATAAATCAACTTATTATTATATTTTTAGAAAGTCAGCGAGGGAGCTCCTGGAATAAAACAACTGGATAACTAGGGCCATGGGCAATCTCACGGACTCGGTGCTGCAGTTGGTGTTGCCAAGGCATTTTTCAACCTTGATCTGCTTTTAATAGATACTTTTGAACAGCAAGCATTTCTCCTTGCTTTGGGGTACCTGCTTTTTCTTCTTGGTCATCCCCATTCCACTCAATAATGCTTTCACGATGACGATTTTATGACTCTTATTTTGTGTAGTTTGTCTTCCTCCTCAAGATTCGTCTCCGTAACCTGGAAAATATGAAGTCACACTATCACAGCAAACAGGCTCTTTTCATACTGCGAAACATCCTTTTCACTCACACTGACAGAATGACCACCGAACAACCCTCCCTACCACCGTATATTCTCGAACTCCCCCTTATTTTGTAAAGAATTACATGCTTCCTGGGGACAGCAGATGACATAGTGGTTACATCACTTGACTCCCATGCGGCCAGCTATTGTTCAGGTCCCAGAACTGGTGGCTTGAAACACATGCTGGGGACATGTGTGTGTGTGTGTGTGTGTGTGCCCAAGACCCCAGGAGGAGAATAGAGGAGAAGAGACTAGGGTATGGCCATACACCTTGGCAGGGGGTGATTTCTCACTTTCTCTCTCACTGTCTCTCTCTCTCTCTCACCATTGAACACACTTGCCCTAAGACAAAAACCTCTAAAAAATTTTTTTCATGCTTCTTAACAATAGCTTTGCCTAAAAGAAAGGTAACAAAATATATGTTGTGCCAACGAGAACTTAAAAGAATTCATTGTTATTACCATCTTTCCATCTATCAAAGAATACACAAACTTCTCTTGCTAGCTTCTTTGAGATGCCATTTTAACCTCTATATTTTTTTCATCTCCTCCTAGCAGCAATCCTGAGAGCTTGAAGGGTTCCCTTATTGCCAAGCTGATTTGTCTTAATGAGTAAGGCCACCAGGGGGAGATCTTTGAGTGAGCTTCTACGTGGCTTGTGCAGGGCAGCAGATTTGCCGAACTGATGTGTCTTGCGTTCATGGGTCATTAGGCCTCCTTTCTCTCTGAGCAGATCATTCAGGAAAACAGCAATAACAACAACAAAAAAACCTGTTTTCAGTAAAAATAAGGAAACTGTCAAGGTTTAAAAGAAGGTGGTCATGGGGGAGATGGGTGAAAGTTGGGTGGGAAGGTGATTTTTAAGTACAGCCTGGTGGGCATTCTGGTCACCTCCAGGCATAGGTGTTAGGCATCTACAGCTGAAAACACAGATGAGAGGGGTCCCAGCAGGAAACTGTAACTTCCCGGATGGGGCTAGTATGGAGGACTTCTGCTGAACTAACAGGTAAATAAGAAACAAAGATGTTTTCATTGGTACCGGGCAGATTTTACTGGAATGAGTCTAGGAGCAAGTACGATGACACCAAAGTGAAAAACCACATTATTCGTTTTCAGAACGATGGAGGAAATAGAGAATGCCACAGGATGGAAGAATTGGAAAAGAGCATACAGGAACCCTTGTGGAGGCGTCTTTGAGCCCAGAGAAGAGGAATTTGAAGAGACCAGAAATCCCAGGGATTCTTCATAGTGGGCAGTCAGATTTGCTGCTCTGATACCATATTACATTCTTGTCCTCTAGGGTGACCTGGATCAGAGCATCTTAAATATTTTGCTTGCACGCACACACACACATCTAACAGTGCTGACCCTTTCTGTCACAAAGGCTAGGTATTCAGATCTTCAAAAGACTTTCAAAGTTCAAACAACTTTCTATTTCTATTTCTACATCTAAGTCATGATTTATTTTATTTATTTATTTATTTTACACCTAAGCCATCTTTTCTTGGGTAAAATAGGAATGAGAATGAACAAGAGAAAATGAGAAGATATTGCACTTTGCTCTCGGATTTTTGGCGGAGAATCGTAAACTCCGCGCCTATTTGTAGTTGCAGTGTAGTAACGCTGGGCAGCGAGCTGCTGTGAAGACGGCTTCCAGGAACCATTCCGTTAGGCCGAGTAATAGTCTTCACGTGGCAGAGAGACTGGCAGACTCGGAGTGGTGGCTCTGGCTCTGCGGCCCTTAAGGGGACACTGCCACAGGGAACACTCCCCTCACTCTCCGAATGGCTCCTTGAAAGCTGCAGTCCTGCAGCTGGAACAAGCTGGGTTGAAGTTCTGTGTGCAAGGAGCTTTGCTGGACCTGGGAACTGAAGGAGAAACTTCATGCAATTTCTTTTTTTTAAAGCTTGTATTTGACACTAATGTCAGGGACAATAAGACAGTTGAGACGTATTAGTGACTCTTTTCAAAACATGCTTTCTAAACTAAAAAGATAATGAATGTGGAGACACAGTTTTGGATATTTGGATGAGTTAGACTTTTTAAGAGTGTGTTTTTTTCCTTTTTCCTCTCTCTCTTTTTTTAAACCTTATCAACCATTTCTCTTTTTTAAAAGACTCATTTAATTTAACTTTATTTATTTGTTTGTTTAAATTTTATCAGAGAAGGACAGAGAGAGAGAGAGAAAAAGCAAGCTGCCGGGTCCAGGACTCAAACCACAGTCAGTCATGTGGAAGCCTAGTACCCTTAACCACCACACCACCTACCAGCCCCTAATCAACTATTTCTAAATTTACAAGTTTCCCAATTGTGGCGTGGAAGACTGCAATCAAGAACAGAAGGCACTGTGACCCACTGTCAGCTCAGAATTCCGGGTGCTGGCAGCCTCACAGGTGTGCTTACACAATACTGTCCTGGGTTCCCTAGAGTGGGTTTGAGTGAGAAAGGATGCAGAGTGTCTGAGGACAGTTCCAGGTGTTCCTCCCTGTAGAGAAACTCGAGATTTGTTTGTTCCTTCATGCATCCATGCATTTATTCACTCAGCCAATATCTGTAGAGAATAGATATCTGTGTGGGACTGTGAGCAATGCATGAAAGTACTCATGGGATGATTCTAATAAATCTTCCTAGACACCCAAAGAAGGGCCCAGCATCAGCGAAGGCAGAAGTCAGGGTACGGGTAGTAGCTGCTAGCAGCCTGATGGAGGAGTAACTGGCCAGACAGAGAAAAGACCACCACCATGAGACATGAATGGGGGCAGAGATGCATCTGTTAGTTCAATCTGCCCCAGCAGACACCAACGACAATGGAGAACTGGCTGTCTGGAGAAGACACGTCACCTTCTCTGTGTCCTAAGCTTAGCCTTAAACCCAAGATAAAAAACTGGTAGGGGAAATCAGTAAATTTATCAGAATCAGAGAAGAAAT